AAAAGACATTTTGGATACGCGACCCATTTGTTTATGTGTATATACATACATATATATATATATAGATGTGTACCTATACTCTGAAAGACAAATAATGTATGTATGTAGGTCCTGTAGGTATGTATGTATGTATGCATGTATGTATGTATGTATGTATGTATGTATGTATGTATGTATGTATACCGTTTAGTTACCCGACTATATGCCCCAAAGCACCCAAAGCTCGTCCATCTCTCAACCCAAACCCCAAATACCCGTTGGACTTAGCCTTGAACCCAAAGCTGCGCAAAAGAGGTTTAGGGTTGAGGGTTTAGGGTTTGGGGTTTCGGGTTGAGGGTTTAGTGGTTCAGGGTTTACGGGTTTCGGGTTTAGGGGTTTAGGGCTTAGGGGTTTAGGGGTTTAGGGGGCTTGCAGCAAGAACTCCCCCCTCGCACTCCCGATCTATCTATTGAACCCTAAACCCTAAACCCTAAACCGAAGAGACTTCAGTCAGCCTAAGGCTCCACGTGCCCATATAGTACATACTTAGGCCTTAAAGTACCTATATGGGGACCCCTTTAAGGCCTAAGTATCTACTATAAAGGTACATGGAGCCTTTGGGTCAGCCAGGACCCCTCGCGCCCATTGCTGGAGCTCTGGCGCTGCGAGCGAGGACGGCCTTCCAAGCTGTGCAGAAGCTTCAGCGGTTTAGGGTTTAGGGTTTAGGGTTTAGGGTTTAGGGCTTATAAAGGGTTGAAGGGTTTAGGGGTTAGGGTTTGGGCTTTACGGCTTAAGAGTTTTGGGTTTTGGGTTTTGGTTCGGATTTAAGGTTAGATTTAGGGAAGACCGCTTGGGTAATGTTGTAGTGCGTATCTGGAGATTAGCACCCAGAGAATTCTGCACCAGGGCCTCCGCCCCTCATGATAGACAGCTCCCCTGCTTCTGGCAGACTCTGAAGGCAGCTTTTGGCATCGCAGCCCTTTCCGTTGCTATCTCATTTGGTCGCGGCTGCGGAAGACCTGGAACGGTACAGGCAAGAAGTTCACGGTGAATCTAGAACAGCCGTGATGTCAACGAAGGACACAGGCACGCACCACGCTCACATGCCCAAATCCAGGAACGGCCAAAAGCTGCTCATACTCCAAGCAAGGCCTACCCCTAAACCCTAAACCCTAAACCCCGAGTACCAACCTGAGCAACAAACGCACTCGATTCCGAGACTCTGAACTAGGAGCCTGCTGTTCTTCAGACTGAGCTTGCTTGAGAATCCTTAGGGTTTAGGGCCCGTTTGGGCCTGGTTGGTTTCGGGTTTAGGGTTTAGGGTTTATAGACTGAAACTACACAAACAAGGCAATCTCAAGTTTCCGCGCTGCAACTTCTTCGTCCCCACGCGCTACTTGTTTGAAAGCCCTCTAAATCCTAAGTGCCAATCCCAGATTACTCAAGAAAAACCGCCATCCGTAAACTTTTTGCATTTGAGGTAAATAATAAGATAAAAAACCCTAAACCCCTGCCCCCAAACACAAAACCCGCCAAAGTCCGGAAAAGTACCCGCATTTTCAGGTTGGGCGCCTGAGTGAGCGCTTTTCTGCCTCAGGGATTTTAGGTCTTGGTTTCAGGGTTTGGGGCTTTGGGGTTAGGTTTAGGACTCAACAGGGAAGGTTTAGGGTTGGGGATTTAGGTTTTAGGGTCGAGGGCTTTCTTCGGGATCCGCAAGTTTCCATGGGGTTAGAGGCTCGCAGTAAGGATTTTGAAGGAGTATAGGTTTCAGGCTCCTAGGGTCTAGTGTGAGGTCATGTGGTCAGGAGCGGCGGCACAGGTGGACCTAAGCGTAGTCGCACACTAACTTTGAAGGCCGGCCGCCGAAGGTAGGCAATTATCAAGATGTAATCGGTAAATGAGGTTCGGATGAATTCGCGATGCAAGGGGCCGGCACTTGGCCAGCCAAGTTAGAGTTGCAAGTCGACCAACTCTGTCTTGAGAGAATGGTCGCTCAATGCACAAATAAATCCTATTCAGAGTAATGTCATACAAACGAGCATCAGCCTTCTGCATTCGTCAGTCCGGCAAGTTCATAGGTCGACAATAAACAAATCTTTATCAATATTTAGATGTTATTTCTTCAAAAGGTTCGGTTTCAAACATATCGTATTTATTTAAAAATTGGATGTTTTATTGGAGCTGATGAATAGTTCAATTCAGAATTCTTTTTTGACACATATATAATTACAAAGAAATTAATCGAAATTCGAAGATTTATCTTAATTATTTATTTTCTAATAATAATCGAAATTAATCTTTACATTCTAGAAAAACTAATTAGTGAGAGAGAGCGAGAGATACCGAATACCATTTAACTTAAATTTTATAAAGAAATATATGAATTGAATATTTCTATATATTTATATTTATAATTTTCAAACAATTCTTATCAAATTTTCAAACAAGAAATTAATTTTTCTATAGTTCTTAAATATATAGAAATTGATTTCGATTATTTTTTATGTTCATAAATAGTGAATTTTATAATTTGATTATATATTCTTATATTAATGGTTTTTTCAAAAAGAAATCGAAGATTTTTTTGTTCTATGAGATATCTAGTAGTATTCAAAAATAATATAAATATTATGGGATTTTGATAGGATTTTTATTTCGAATTTTTTGAATTTATTTGTTTTTTAATATTATATATATTTTGATAAGATCTATTATGAGATTCTTTTTCTTATATATAATATTATTCAAATATTTAAATATTGAAATTTAAATTTTCTATTTTATAGATATTCGTACGGGGGAAATTGAATTCTTGAATATTTGGGCAAAATTCTGATCATTCTCGAGATTACATTATTTATATATGATTCATAGAAAAGAGATATGATTATATCAAATATTTTATTTTGAAATTTAATTAAATTTTTTCTTTATGAAATTGATTTAAATAATTATATTTATTTTCAATATGATAATATATTTAGAAATATTCATCTCTCGAATATAATACTAGATTCTTTGATATTGATAAG